TCTTTCTTCTTTCTTCTTTCTTTCTTCCTTCTTTCTTTTCTTTTCTTTCTTCTTTCTTTCAACAGAGTCTCACTCTGTTGCCAGGCTAGAGTGCCGTGGCATCACCTAGCTAACAGCAACCTCAAACTACTGGCCTCAAGCGATCCTCCTGCCTCAGCCTCCTGAGTAGCTGGGCTATAGGCATGTGCCACCACACCCGCTAATTTTTTCTGTATGTTTTTTAGTTGGCCAATTAATTTCTTTCTATTTTAGTAGAGACGGGATCTCACTCTTGCTCAGGCTGTCTCGAACTCCTGATGCAAAAGATCACCCACCTCGCCTCCCAGAGTGCTGGGATTACAGGCACGAGCCACGCACCTGCCTTTTCTTTCTATTTTAAATGTGTGGTGTTTTGTTTTTTAAGGAAGGAAGGAAAGAAGGAAAGGAAAGAAGGAAAGAAGGAAGGAAAGAGAGAGAGAGAGAGAGAGAGAGAGAGAGAGAGAGAGAGAGAGAAAGAAAGAAAGAAAGAAAGAAAGAAAGAAAGAAAGAAAAGAAAAGAAAAGAAAGGAAAGAAAGGAAAGGAAATAAAGAAACCAAACAAACAGATCAAACAGAGAAAGAAAGAAAGAAAGAAAAGAAAAGAAAAGAAAAGAAAAGAAAAGAAAAGAAAAGAAAAGAAAAGAAAAGAAAGGAAAGAAAGGAAAGAAGGAAATAAAGAAACCAAACAAACAGATCAACCAACGTACACTGTGTTGTAAGTCTATGTAGGCAGCTTCTCCGAGGACTCCCGATGATCCCGGCTTCCAGGCATGTAGCCTGTGCGGTCCCCTCCCACCTGGTACCAGGCTTGCTCTGTGCAGCCAACAGGACAGGGCAGAAATGATTGCATGTCACTTCCAAGATTAGGTTATAAAAAAACGGTGGCTTCTGTCTTGGGTGCTCTGTGGCACTCTCTCCCGTGGACCGCCTGCTCTGGGTGACCAGAGGACATCCCGGCAGTCCTGTGACGAGGGCCACATGGTGAGGAATGGGGGCCTCGCTCCTACAGACTTCAGAAGGCTGCAGCCTCGGGAGAGACCCTGCACCAGAACCACCCCGCCCAGCCACCCCTCGACTCCTGCCCCTCCGAAACCGCGCGGAGGAGGAAAGAGCTGCGCCTTTGGGGCGAGTTGTCACGTGGCAATAGCTGACCACTGCAAGGTATTGACGCCTGCCTGGCAAAGTTATATTAGGATGAGACTATACGCCAATGTCAGCATAAAGGGTAACTCTGGGGCTGGGGCTGGGGTGGGGCTTTAGCTACACTGGCTTTTCTTTTCTGTGACAAATTTTTAAAGAAAATATGACAAGATGTTAGCAGTTAAACCTGGCCATCCCCGTAAGTGTGCTGTGCATGGTATATGATTCTCTATATCGAAAGGCATTTTATCTGTTGCTTAAAACATTTCATAATTAAAAATAAACACTATTAGAAAGGAAGAAAGGCAGCACATCTAGTCCATTTATTATGGGGATATAGAGTGCTGTCTGGCTCCTTTAATGGCAGCCCCGAGGAAAGTGATTACTTTAATGGCTAAACAATTTGCACTGAAGATGAGCCATGTATCAGTGGATTTTTCCCAGAGCTGGTAAAATCGAATGTGTAAGCACCAAAACCTCAAATACATTTTTTAAAAAGCAACACAAAACTTACACACGAGCTCCTAACAAAGAATTCGCAATGAAATGCAGGAAAAAAAAAATGTTGCCTTGCCTAGACATGCTTAATATGAAACCATTTCCAATGGCAATTCACTTAAGAAACACACGGTTATTATGCTCTGCAGTATTAAGTGGACGCTCTGACTGCTGTTGCCATAGTATCCTCTACTTTAATGGTATTTAGCAGGAGAACAGAAATTGTGGGCAAAATTGTTTTGGTTCTTAGATTCCCTCGGTTAAAAAGAAGTAAAATATTCACGGTTGGGAAATACAGTGATGTTTCAGTCCCGCTTACAAATAGAGGAGCGTCTTGCTCAACGATAATTTAACTGGCTGAGTGAATGCACACCCGAAAGGTAAACATTTACTCACGACAAAGATTAAAAACACGACAAGTCTGAACGTTTCAAATCTGCTCACCGATGCAAAGGGAAGTAAGTTTGCACTGATATTTAAGAAGACGTTTTACAACGTATCAGGTACGTACACTGGGCCGGGCGATTTTTATTTACAGAGAATAGGCATCGGCCAAAGACGCCAGAAGTAATTTCTCCTTTCAGTGTTCCTCTTCCTCCGTTCTCTAAGCGGTGACTTCACTTTTCAGAAATGCCACTGGGCTGACACGAGAATATCAAGTATCGCTTATCTGCTTCACTTACCAGAATTCCCGTTTTAAGAATGTGTTTTTATTAAAAAACAATAACCAAAATCTCTGCCTCCCTGAACAACTCCGCTGTGATCACCTGACATCTCACGTGCACACTGTCATCCGGCAGCTCTTCAGCCGGGCTGAGCTCAGGGTGACGGTCCGGGTCCCGCATTCCCACCTGTCCTACCGCGATGTCTAGCGTCTGTCAAATTCCCCTCCGTTCCCTTCGTCTACGTGGGGACCCCGGATTTCACTATCGCCCCCCACGTTTTCTTCTACTCCACTTCCTTGTCGTTCAGCTCTTTTTCGGCCTCGCACGCTGCCCCTCCCTTGGGCGTGTTTTCAGCACGTCTTTGGGATTTCGTTCTGTTCTTGACTTTAAATCCAACGTGCCGACCTCTTTTTAGTCCTTGGAAATCCCATTTTGAAACACTGCCGGCTCCCGGCCACTTCCCTGAGCTGACTCTCCTTCCCCTCGTCCCCAGCAATTCCATCTCGTGCCCACTCCTGTGATGTGCATCTTCCCCGCCGGCTGGGACTCTTATTAGTCACAAGTGCCCGCTCCGCCCATCAAACCACCTGCTGCGTGAACGCTCCGTTTCGGGCAAACCGTCAGATCCGAAGACACGTTCACGCTTAAGGGGTTTAACCATCCTATCGACTTTCTTGCACTCTCCTGGTTTCTCTGAAGACCTGCCCGACCATCGAGCCGGATTTTGCAGAATAACGCTGGTACGCCACCCCCACCTGCCCCTTGGGAGGACTTCCACGACAAATGGGGCTCCCAGGTCTCAATATTTTAGAATTTTGAGAAATAGCAATGATGAGTGTTTGCTTCTTATTTCGTAATGAGGACTGCTTTGAGGGAAAACAAGTGTCCACAGCCTGTCTAGGAGTTTTCTTCTTCACTCATTTTGCTCTGCCAAAAAACTGAACTTCAACATCGAGGCTCCCCAGAGAATTTTTATTCCCGGCAACTGTAGTGACTAACACTGATGGAGCATTTTCCACGTGCCGAGCGCTGGACTAGAAGTTGTGCAAGGATGATCTCATTCAATCCTTGCAGCAACCCCATGGCCCGCTTCACTGACTAGCTCTCCATCACTGATAAGAGGCACGCGTGGAACAATCCAACGGCAACCGGCTCCTCACCGAGAACTGCTTCCAAGTGAGTACATTTACGCAAAGGGGCAAGAGTCCCGGGCTCCCTGTGCCACGAGAGGACGGCTCACCTGCGCAGGGACTGGCCGCGAAGCCCACCCTCCTCCTCGCTCTGTCGAAGATGACGTAGAAGCCCTCCATCACGGTGGCCCCGATCACCAGCGCGTTCGTGGAAGGGGAGATGCCGAACCGGTAACATTCGTAATTCAGGCCGGCGCCCATCATGGGCTGGATGTACAGCTGCAAGCGAACAAGAACAAGCACACGTCAGCAACACCCCAAAACCGTGGAGCGTGGAGGTCACATGCATGCTTAGGACCCTCCTGGGTGCATGGAGGCGTCGCCTGGAAGGAAAGATGACGGCTTATCCCTCCCCCCCAGTGAGGAGACCAAAAGCACGGTGACTACACACAGGTGCGCACACCCAGAAGACACCTGTCCACCTGCTCATCTGTCCAGCCAGCCATCCACCCAGCAGTCGAATACTTACCACGGTCAGACGCCATCCTCCAACTATGAATAACACCTGCTCCCGGCCTGCAGGGAAGCCAGGTAGAAACCACAGGGTGGGAAGTGGCCTGGCAGGACCCATCTATCAGGAGTGGTGACCAAGCTCCCTCTGCTTGGAAGCCCTTAAAATTTGCTGGGCCTCCACCTGGGGAACCCCTCTTCCTCCTAGCTCTGTGTTGCACGGGCTTCAGACTCCTCGCTGGCAAGCATCGGAGCACCCCGGGCGCTGGCCTCCTCTCGGTCTCCCCTCCTTGGCCACCCAGCCCGCCTGCAGCCCCAAACACACCTGTGCTCTGGGCCAAGACTCCCCAGTCTCTACCCCCGGCCCAGACCTGGCTGTCACTGCCACGATCTCACATCCGCCCGCCTCCTCGCCTGTCAAATGGCATCTCGTGCACGTGTGACATTTAAACACCTGAACTCTGGACACCTCCCCCAAATCAGCGTGTCTCCCGGGGTCTCCGTGTCGGCAAGCTCATGATTCCCCCAGTTACTCAGGCCCTGCCATCCCGGTCAGCCCCTTCTCTCTCTCTCCCCACGGCCACACCATAACCAGAGGCCCGGGGGCCTTCCCGTGAAATCCAGTCTGGATCTAATCACCCCAGCACGCCCACCCTGTCTCTCGTGATCCACTGCCACGGCTCCTAACTGGCCCCCGCGGCAAAGCGGGTTTTAAAAGCAGGCAGCCAGCACAGGCAGGATGATGTGCTCGGTAGGAAGAGGGAGAAGTGAGCAGGGAGGAGACACGGAGTCCATCCACGGGTGAGCAGCTCCCTGCGTTTGAGGACCACTCCCTGCACGTGCTGTTGGGGTGTTAAATAAACATGGGACGTGGCCCTCGAGATCCTGGCGCCAAGAGTACTGTGTTTCCCTGAAAATAAGACCTCCCCATAAAATAAGCCCTAGCAGGATTTCTAAGCATTTGTGCAATAGAAGCCCTACCCTGAAAATAAGATCTAGTGATGGGCGTGGCTACACAGCGCATCTGCACAACCCATGCATTTCCTCGCAGAGCGGTAAAGAAGACGAGCAGCCCTTCTCATCTGTCCCATGAGAGCTCTATGGCTCGACATGAGAGATTGGGGCCGATGGTTCTAAAGGAAATAGAGTCGTAAGAAATTCAGGATGAAATTCAGGGTTTGGAGAGTTATGATGATGTTCCAGAAGACGATGACTTAACTATACTTAAATAAATGTAGATTGTTGTAATGTACTTAAAAAAAAAATAACACATCCCCTGAAAATAAGCCCTAGGGTGTCTTCTTGAGGAAAAATAAATATAAGACCCTGCCTTATTTTCAGGGAAACACGGTATGTGAGGAAATGGGCCAAAACCTAAAATAATCAGTGAGCAAATAATATCCTATCAGTAATAGCAATTTGTTTGCTCTCTCATATTAATAGCAAAATATTCAAATGCAGGCAATTAGAGAGTAGAGTAGCTTAATAGGACAAAATGCCACATATTTGGAAAAAAACCAATAAAGTGCAAAATGAGTGAGAAAGAGAACGTTCCTGTGAGTCACGATTAGCTGGAGAGGGCAAAGGCAGGAAGAAGGGCTGGGGATAAACAGTGAGTCTCACCCAGGAGCCCGGGCTGCTGGCCGGGGCGCTGGGTTTGGAGGGAGCAGAGAAGACTGAGAGAGGACCGGGGCGGGGAGGGGGCGGGGGCTGGGGGCTGCCCTGCCACGGCTCTGAAAAAGACAACGCAAACTGAGGCTTCTGACGGTGGGGTGAGGACTGGTCGTTAGGACCGGAAAGCACGAGACGACAATTTTATGGGAAAAAAATCAGAATTCCCCTGGGGGCTGGGGCTGCTTTTTTAACAGACCAAACAGGATTTGGCCCATGTGTTTCTGGAAAGCAATGCTGGGCACAGACAAAATTTAAGATAATTGCCTCGGACTTGACTTTTTCCCCCGGCGCTAGCGATCATTTGCCCACCCGTGATTGCTGACGTCTGGCGGGTCCCAGGTAGGGGTCTGTCCTAGAACTCGGTGACAGGGAGCCCTGATGGCTGCCCTCAGTGTCGGGGAGGGGGCTGGCAGGGCAGGGCCAGCCCTTCTAGAAAATGACTCCCAGGCCCACCCGCCCCCGCCCGGCGAGGCAGGTGGCCCGTGCGGGGCTCTGTGACCAGGTGAGGTTTCCAGCCCCCGCCCAGCATGGCAGGGGAAGGAAAGGAGGGGTGATGTCGGGTAACTCATGAGAAAACAGCAGGGAGAGCAGATTCTGAAAAATCAAAAATGTGAACATGTCGAAGTCAACCAAAAAAATCTCTCCCGTCTCACAAGTGAAAGCAGGAACGAGTTCTCAGTGGAGACGCGGGAATGAAAGGGACCGGCCCCACGCCTCCCTGTGACTGCTGGACCGCCCGTACTCAGTCCTAACAGCGCCGACATCCCAGCGAGCCTGCCGGCTGTCGCCTGCCCTGGACGGAGGGATTCTCCCCAGTGCCGCTTGTCCTCCTGCTTCCCGGGACCCACCCCCGGCCCCGCCGGCCGGCCCCAGGGCATTCGGGTACCAGCACACGCCCGCCTCGCTGGGTTTGACATCAGCTACAAACCACACTGATGAAATAACGTCCGCATTCTGCCGTTCTACTGGCCAAAATGTAGTCACCCGGAGACCACGTTTTAAAGACGTTGAAAACATATCGTTCCAACATTCCAGCTCTGCACAGCGCCATGCATCCGAGGACGAAAACGTCCATCTGCAGCAAGGGGTGCTATTTCTCCTGTACGGTTAGAGACAGGCACAGGAAGGGCTGAGGGAGCCGCTCAGAGTTGCCGCGCGATCAAGGGCAGCGCTGAGGCTGTGACTCGGGCCCCGCCCCCGCTCGGCACCCTCGCTGGCCTGGCTTCCTCCTGCAGCTTCCAGCCCTCTCCCCGGAAGGTCTCTCCTTTTCCGGAACATGCATCCCACATGCCAGACGAAAAGGGGAAGAAGGCGGCATTCCCACTCACTTTCTCCTTCTGACCTGATTCCTCCCTCCTTACCCCGCCCATCCCAACCTCTGCGCCCCAGTCGCGGTATCCCGACACAGACGCGGCGACGTGTGTCCGTCTGACACACGGTTACCCCGCACTTGTCCCGCGCCGCCTGGCAAGGTCGGAGAAGGAAGGGTGCTCTTTTAAACCCGCAGCTTTTATCTTTGAGGGATTTACACTTAATTGAAGAAGAAACATAAGTCGGTGTCGTTGTTGAAGAAAACAGAAGTCAAACGCAACGGGCAACAAGGGCAAACGGCGTCCCCTAGAGAGAGGATTCTGCGCCCCACAAGCGGACTGGAAGACATGCCTCGTGGGACTACAGTGCGCTCACAGACGGTCATTCTGCTCAGCAGAGTCGCGACAAAGCCGAGCTGTGTGAGCTGGGCCTGGAAGAACGGGAAGAGCTTGGACGCGCAGACGGCAGGAGGGCGGGCGGGCAGTGCAGGCCGGGTTGGCGGAACACAGGATTGGGGACGGTGGTGGGCAAGAGGCCCTGGAGGCCGGGAGTGCCCGGGGGAGTGTCCGAGGGCAGCCGGAGACGGGCTGGGGAGCCGGGAGGGCCTGGCAGGGACTCACGCCCGGGCACGCCAGGGAATGCACCTCTGTACTGCAACCGCGGGGACCCGGCGCTTGCTCATGGCCTGGGGGGCTCGGAGGAAAGCGGTGCTTTAGGGACATTCATCTGACAGAGTGACAAAGAAGGGACAGTGGGGCTGGGAGGCACGGGCGGTGAGGTGGTGACAGCCACACAGGAGGGACGGCCACAGCCGCGGAGCGGCGGGCAGGGGAGAGAACCAGGCCCCAGGAAGCCAGAACTCGGCCTGTTAACCAGTCAGGGCAGAGAAAGCATCCTCGGGTGTTGGGATTATAGTAAAAAAACTGATTGTCTTCACCTGTGATGGTCTAGCTTTGGTCCTTATTCATACATAAATAGCAGAAAAGCTTATACAGGTGGTGTGGTGGCCGTGACAAAAATGCGCCCCGTCCGTCCCCTTTCCACGCAGCCTCGGGCCCTGGCTCTGAGCTCCCCCGCTGCGAGGGGTCTGTCTCCCAACCGGGGGCCTGGGCTGGCCTCAGCCTGCCTGGGTGACGCCGTGAGGTGACGGTGGCCGGTTCTGAGCTGAGACTTTAGCAGCCCCGCGTGTTCTTCTCTCTCCTGGAACCCTGTGACCACACGTGCGCCGGCCACTGCACGGAATGACACGCGTGGCCCCATTACTCCACGGACCTCACCACCAGACCCGAGAGGGGGCCACCCCACGCCAGCCTCGGCTGGGGCCGGCCAGCAGCTGACCGGAGGCACGTGGGCACGCCCGGCCCGGACTCACGCGCAGTGAGTCAGTACACGTGTGACGCACGAAGTGCTTTCACCTCTGCACGTTACGTGCTAAGCAGAGAAAAGCACAGACTGGAGCCCCTACCTGAGGCAGGATGGTTATCCGGAAGGACCTGCTGGCGTTCTCGTCCCGCAGGTAGATGGAGATCTTGGGGAAGTAAGACCAAGGAGTTTCGGAGTTGGCCCAGCACGCCAGCTGCGACCCCGTCCAGAAGCCGTCGGAGAATTCTGGAATCTAGACAAAAGCAGACCACGTGGGAAACGGGGACTCGTCAACAGGAAACAGCTCCGGGCTCTCCCAGCCTCCTGCCAGATGCCCGCGGGGACAGACAGCGTCTAATGTGGACAGGACAGCAGGGACCTCGGTCCCCTGGAAGAGTGGCGGTGATGGCGAAATCACCATCGCCAACTCTGCCAGGACACTCGAGGCCCTTGCCAGCAACAGGCACCGTCGCGGTGGCTTTGCGGCGGCAGTACGCCCTTTAATCCTCAACCCGTGTGATGGCGTTATCCCCTCCACTTCACCACTGAAGAAAACAAAGCACAGAGAGGCAAAGTCACTTGCCCAAGGTTGCACAGCAGCGGACAACAGCTTTTTGGGAGAGAGAAATCTTAAATGCGGCCCTGAAGGCCCTTTCGGGCATCACCCGCCCTCTGAATTCCGGGGGCCCAGGGTGGGCTCTCTGCCCTTCCGGAACACCTTCCTCCTCCTCCAGAGCTCGGCTCAGACGCCAGCTGGGCCAGGAAGGCCCCGGCTCCCCCAGGTAGCAGGGGGGCACCCCGAGCACCCCCCTCCCTGTGGCGGTGCACCGCGCGCAGGTACGGCTGTGACTGAGCTCTGTCTCCGGCACTGGAATCGCGGCCTCTGGGGACGGAGGCCTGGTGCCCGGCCCCCACGCTGCCCAGCACGTGGAAGAGACTCGGGAAATATTTGGGGTGCCTCCCAGGGACAAAACGGTGGCCAGCAACACCGGAAGGACGCCCACCTGCGGCTCCCACCAGGGACGGGAAGAGGCGTGCCATCTGCCAGGTGCACTGGCTGCTGCGTGGGGACGTCAACGACACCTGCGCTCTCTCACAGCGGCGGCCCCTGAGCAGAGCCTGCTGGACCCCGAGGAGGACTGACTGTGTCTGCCATGCCCCTCACACATCCCGGACGGCAGCAGCCCGCGAGGGGCAGCGCTGGGAGAGAGGGGTGGGGCGGGCAGAGGCAGCAGGGCCCCGGCCGGTTGGAGGGAGCTGGGCTGCAGGCCAGGCGGGTGCCAGGGAGGGCTGGGGGCAGAGCGAAGGGTGCCCGGCGAGACCCTGGCCCCGGACGATGGGGGTGACAGCGCTGAGGCTGGTGCCAAGGACAGACAGGGACATGAGGTGAGGCAGGGGGGAGACTAGGTGCCACTGTGAAGGAGTGACACACTGCACCTCATTCGGCAGAGGCGTCTGGTGGACACGTTGTGGGGCTCGCTGGTCCTCGAGCGCCCCGAGCTCCAGGGCACAGGCCCGGGCTACACACGCCGAGAGTCACTGAGGCCGCAGACGGGACTGTGCAGGGGGTGGGGGGAGAGGGACCGGTGGGGAAGGGCACAGGCGAGGGACATCCAGGGAGGAAGGAGGGGGTATCGTGGGAGCAGAGGGACCGTCTGGAAGGAGGACAGGAAGCAGGACAGAACGCTGCCAAGGTGAGGACGGAGGGAAAGGCAGGTGCCCCTGGATGAACCTGGTGACGCCCACGTACCGAATACCGAGTGCTCACCACGCACCGCGCAGCCACAGCCGCACACGCAGCACACATGTGCCCGCCCGTCCCACCCGGTGCACCGCCGGGAGGACGCGCCCAGCGCTGCCCATCCGTCCCGCATCCTCTAGCCGGACCCTTGCCACCCATTTGTGAAATTTCTAATGCTGGCATTAATACGCCTTTGCTCTTTAAAAAAGTTCAGTGGATTTGAAATACGGGTCGCAGGGAAGAGCCCCTTCCCAAAGGGGATGCGGAGAGGCGGGAGGGTCGGCTTGCTGGATCCGACAAGCAGCGGGAGGCGGGGCTGGGCCTACGGTGCTGGCACAGAGCTCCGTTGATGGCACCACTACCCGCTGCGACTGCAGAGCGGGGCTCAGGGGGGCCCAGTTCCTGGCCTGCAAGGCTTGGCTCAGGGCTGGACTTGGGACTTACTGCCCCCAAAGCCGGGTCCCTCAACCATAAGTCCGGAGGCCTCCCTGGGGCTAAGCCACGTGCTCTTGAGGGACAGTTTTGGCCCTGGGTGACTCAGGAGAAACTGTGGAGTTTTAGGGTTAGAAGTCCTCTTAAAGTGGTGGCCTCTGCTTTTCGACTTTGCATTTGGAGAAGTGCTAGGCCCGAGGCACATGGGCACCACCCCAGGGCGGGGTCCCCAGCCTCTGCACAGGCCACACGGCCCGGCACGCAACTCCCGCCAGCAGGTGCACTGCTAAACACAGGCCCACGACCCACTAACTTCTAAAGTCCCATCTGAACGATCCGAGCCAGGAGACGGAGCCCGGCCCTTGCACTGTCTGCAGCCCTCCGAAGCCAGCCCTGCCCGTCGCTAGGAAGACGCCCGAGCCGGGAGGGCCGGCGGGCAGGAGCCCGGCAGGCGGGAAGGATGAGCATGCCTGGCGTAGACGGCAGGAGGGAGACAACGCAGCCTTGTTGAGCGTCCCCTGCCCCAGACTAACAAGCTTCCCGGGTTTCTCCCACCTGACAGGCACCGGATGAGATCAGTGGGTAATTTTAGACAAGGCACACAAACTTCATGATCTCACCGCTTCCACCTTGCGGTTTTCTTACAAAGCCAGCCGCTGCTGAGCACGTGCTGGGATGAACTCAGGAGTGTGAACGCCCGTGGGTGCCACGGGACAGGGGCCCCCGGGCCACCGCTTGCTGCGGTCAGTCGCACACGGAGGCTTCAAACACATCCTTGGGACACTTGTCAGATCCTCGTCATTCAGCATATTAAGCGTGGCACTCTCATGATGATTCTGCTGAGGACACTGTTACTATCTGAGAAATCAAGCGCATTGCCCTTTATTTTAAGCGTGGTCTGATTTTCAGCAACTGTTCCAAATTTAAGGCACTACCCACGGTACCTGCCGTTTTTTCAGATTCAGCAGATAGCGGATAAAGATCGCGACTCCACTCTGCTGTCCATGGCAGAGGCTCTGGGCTGCCGCCTGGGAGACCAGCTGGTTTGAAAGGGTCCCGGGCCTTTCTCGCTCCCCTCCCCTCTGCGTCGGTCCGCGTGCCTGCTTCAGCTACAGGCTTTTGCGGTTTGGGGTCGGGACAACCAAAAGCCCTCTCTTGCTTCCTATGTCTTTGCCATCACTGGCCGCAGAGGGACTGCTATGCCTCCTCCTGCCCGCGGTTGTTCGGGTTCAGCCATCACAGCAGAGCAGGGGCTGTCTGCCCCACGCCAGTTCCGGGATCCCAGCGCTGTGCGGGGAACGCTGCTTTCGGGTGATCTTGCAAAAAGGGCCCTTAGTGGACAGACGCTACGGGAAGACTCAGGATGCCAAAGGCAACGTCTATCTCACAAGCGGCCGGCGTCTCGCCGGAGCTCTTTCTTACCGAGTGTCTCCTGCACGCCGGCCTCTGACCCAGCCAGCCCTCACAGCGACCCCACGGACAAGCACGCGGGGCTCTCGTGCTGGGCACGACACCCCGCCCCAGGCACCTGCTATATGAGTGACAAGAACCAGACCTGATTCATTTCACTGGAGCCCCAAGCCTGTGTTCTGTCCAATGCTATTGCCGTCCATAAACTGAATGGAAAGTTGAGGCCATGCTGGGAACACCGTCAGCCAGGTCCCCAAGAGGCACGATGTCCCCCACCGTGACTTGACTTGTATTTGGAGCACGGCCATTGGACTGGCCCAATGACCTTCTCCATCTTCTGTGGAAGAATTGGATTTTTTTTGAGACAGAGCCTCACTCTATTGCCCGGGCTAGAGTGAGTGCCGTGGCTTCAGCCTAGCTCACAGCAACCTCAAACTCCTGGGCTCAAGCGATCCTCCTGCCTCAGCCTCCCGTACAGGCATGCACCACCATGCCCGGCTAACTTTTTCCCTATATATTTTTAGTTGTCCAGCTAATTTCTTTTCTATTTTTTTTAGTAGAGACAGGGTCTTGCTCTTGCTCAGGCTGGTCTCAAACTCCTGAGCTCAAAGGATCCTCCTGCCTCGGCCTCCCAGAGTGCTAGGATTACAGGTGTGAGCCACCACGCTCGGCCAAGAATCATATTCTTTTATGGAAGTAGAAGCTGAGATACCAGCACAGCTTGGGTGAAGGCCAAAAAAAGAGTAAGATTTTTGGCTTATGTGCTTTGTTTTAAAGGCTATAAATGCATTCCTGCTTTACTGTTTAATTTAATACAGTTATATTACCAGGCATTGCTTTGCTCACATAAAAACACGCTAAGCCAACTAAACCACGACTTGAGATACTGAAAGGCACTGCGCATTCAAGCCCACGTCCTCTGAGGTTGCAACGAAGGCATCGTTTGCTGGTTAATGTCAACGAGCAAGATTGTGAAATCAGTAAGTAATAGCTTTAAAAAAACCTTCAAAGTATAAAATTTTAAAATAAACGTAAAATATATTTATGTGTGTCACACCTCTATGATATTTAAAATATACGAATATAAAACGAAATTCAACCGTCCAGAGTGAGGGTTCGGAGACCGTCACCGGGCGATCGAGACCCGGTGTCTGCAGACCCACGCGCCTCCCGGGCACTCACCAGAGACGTGCGGGCCACGGCCTCCACCACGGCGTCGAACACCTTCTGGGGCAGGCGCAGCAGCGTGGTCCCGCTGTCCACGATGGCCTTGTCCGCGTTGTACTGGAACGGAGGAGAGCGGGGAGAAGGCATGTGAGCGGCCACGCGTGGTCACCTTCGCTGTGAGTCTGCTACACAGGAATCTCGCCGCCGTCGGCCACGATCCGTCTCATACTCTCAGGACTCGGGAGCCCGGGACCTTCCGACCCGGCGTTCTCACGCCAGAGACAAGGAAACCAGGCCCCAGAAAGGGAAGTGACGTGACCGGGATCAACCGCCCTTTGGAAGGAAGAGCTTTCTCCTTCCCCCAAGCTGCCCCGACTCCCTCATCTCGGGGCCCTCCCCAGGGCAGAGGGAAGACTCGCGTGTCTTCAGAGGGTGATATGACATGTTAAAAGCCACTTATGCAAACTGCACAAATGAACTATTATCTCATTCACGAAGAAAGGACAGTTTTACACTAGACCTCCCATATTGCATTTAGAAAGGAACCAGAGACACAGTCAATAACACACACACACACACACACACACACACACACACAGAGGCAATGCCAGCCCCGGCCCCACCTGTAACATCATTCTCGGTGTGGCAGAGTGAGGGGCATGGAGGTGAGCGGGCTGATCCGAGACAGGCCACTCTGGCCACCAGGCGCACACCTGTGCGAGCAAGGCTGCCAGGCATGCGGTTTCATCCTCCTGCTTCAAGGCAGAGCCCTGAGGCATCGGCCAGACACGCCCCCAGTCGGGTCAAAAGTTCGGAGCAGTTAAGAATTTTAAGAAAAATGAAGCATCCCAATTTATTAGTGTCCTTTTCAAACAAAATTATTTTCAGTTTAGAAACAATTTTAATTTAAAATATAACTTAGCTTCTTTATAAAATTATCATTTTTTTTTTATGTAAGAAAAGTAAATATTTGAAAGCCCTATAGTAAACTGAAATATTGTGGTAGGATGTCCCAGGTTTTGTGGGGTGGGTGCATATTGGGGTGGGCAGGAAAGAACCTGGAACCTAAGATTCACACCTCCAGGTATGTGCTTGTGCACACACACACACACACACACACACACACACACACGGGGTTTATATTTTATTTTAGGCCTGACTTTAGAGTATACCACTGGGCTCTTTAACGGCAAATAAGTTCCTTCTGACAATAAGCACAGATTTGTGGACTCAGGGCAGAGACACCATCACGGTGGCAGGGACCATCACTCTCGGTTCCTTTGGTTCAGCAGACGTCCCCCGCGCACACGAGGACGGATGGTGGAAGGTGGCAGTTAACGCAACAGCAGTGCCAACGGGCAGGGACGCAATGAGACGCTGGCGGTGTTTATAAACCACTCTGGAAGGGCTGCGGAAGACCGAAGCTCCCTCAAGCCACCCTGACCCTGGCCCTAACCCTAATCATAAAGTCATGACGTGCCACACATCAGCCCAAACGCTGAGAGAGGCTGTGCACACGGGTGCAGGGTTGGTGTCAGAGCTCTTAACTCTGGAGCTGCCAGTGTGTGCTGGGGGTGGGGGGGTGGGGGCGGGGAGGGGCAGCTGTGACAGAGGATAAAGCTGGCCATTATTTTGGTTTCATTTATCACTGACAAAAACCCGCTTATTTTGTCTTAAACAGAGCCCAGGGCCCCACAGGCCAAGCTGAGTGGCGAAAGGCATGGCTCAGTCCTCCTCACTCACCTTTCAATGCTAACTTTGTCCTGTTAGGACAGGTGATTGTGAGGAAGCGGTTTTTTTTGGGGGGGGGAGGGGGAGTTTCATCGATTTAAACTCACCATACAAAAAGGCCCTTTATCTTTTCACGTTAGGAAGCTTTGATTTAGCTCGTAATGTAATGCACCTGTCTGATGTCACGGACAGGTTCCGGCCGTGCTATGTATGGCACACACAGACGGACAGACACGCTGGCGATCACGGCGTAAGTACCTCTCTGCAGTCCAGATTAAGGCTCTGGCCTCCTATCTCCAGCTTCAGAATTTCTATCTGATAATACCACTCCTCCTTAATCGGGGTATACCAGATGTCTCCTTTATACAAGCTGGGCTCAACCCCGCCCAGGACCTGGGAAGGAAAATAGTTACAGGGGTAAGAGAGAAAAAACACAGAGACATATCAACAGGCTACACAGAGAAGCACATACTCACAAGGGGACACTTGGCTGGAATCAGTAGGTCACTGTGATGTTATGAAACAAACAACAAACGCCTGAGAAATCACCAGGGGAAGTTATGGGCCACACACCCAACACCCAACAGTAACACGCCCTAGTCTAACCAAGATGCTTTGGTGGTTTCCCTTTATCTACAGAAAGTACAATTTCGGCTTCACGATGTTATGATTTTCCCCCAAGGAAATTCAATAAAATAGGTAACCACGATGTCTGACAGTAACTTAGTCCCCCAGAAGTCAGAAAAGAGGAAAGAAGAAGAAATGAGTTTCCTAATCAAAACTTCATTTTGCAGGACTGCGAAACACCCCCTCACAGCCTAGGCTGCCCCTTCTCTTCTCAGGTAAGTGTAAGAAGGCGTTTAGGTGCGAGCTGCCGGGGTGTGGAGCTCGCCTGTCATAGGCAGAGAGCACCTGGCGGCACCCACCCAAGGGGGCCCCTTCTCGTGCCTCCTCCCTGCCAGCTCCTACTGTAGATGTCTGGGTGCAGGGCCCGAGGGGGTGAGCCCAGACTACAGCACATCTGTAGTGCTGCTGGCCTTGGTTCAGCTTCAGTAGAAAACAGTTTTGCTGTGTGTGTGTGTGTGTGTGTGTGTGTGTGTTGAGACAGAGAGAGACAGAAAGGATGTACATGTGTCCCTGTGTCCCCACCTAATTTATGAAATCACAGGCATCACCCTTTGCCCCATGGCCCAGAGCAAGGCTCACGTGGCACCCACCCCCGGCCCCCCATGGGAAGCAGCTCCCCCTCCCAAAGCACGACAGAGAAAAGCACTAATGGAATTTGGAGAAGCAACAAGAATCATCTTCCTAGATGGCAGGATGATTAGGAAAGATGAAAAGCAATACCTAATTTTATCCATCTTCAAAAGGATCTAGAACAAGGATTATCACAATTTTATAGTACCTACGCACACCTACATGTCTAATACTCCCGATCAGGTGTTTAACAAAACAGAAAAAAAAAAAAACAAAAAACAAAACAGCCCCGGCCATTTACGAGTTTTCACCCCTTTAAGACTAAAAGATACCCACAAGACTACCTCCGTTGGTACCGGCTCCAGCCACGGGCAGCCCGGCCCCGCACATCTGCATGGAGAAAACGTTGGGAATGTCTGCTTGTGTCACGAGGGAGTCAAAGAAAGTCTCCAGGGAGCTTGATGGCTGTGGGAGGGTGACAAAGAAGGACACCTGCTTCATGACTCACAGCGTAGACAGGGGTGACCAGTGTAGACACCACAAGCCACAGACGACATTCCTGATCTTTATAGCTAGTTTTTTTTTTCATGGCTAAACAACAAACAAGCTTGTGATCAGATGCAGTAATTCAGACAGCTCCAACAGAACTGCCCGCCGCCTGGCATTCCTCCTTTTGGTACAGCTCTGCTGTAAAAATAAGGAATTATTTCCAAAGCTATTAGGACCCTGTCACAGGTACCATCAGGACTGCCTTGTCAGGTGGGCACGAGATGCTGTGCAATTGGATTATGCAGTAGGCGGTGGGTTCTAATCCCAGACATTTTGGAGTAAGGAGAGAAGAGTTTCTCACGGAGATGCCACGGCTGCTGGAGTCCTCGATCGCCCCTCTCAGCGGCAGCCGTCAATCACGCAGATGAGAGGTGACCGGCCCACGAGGACACTTCATCTGGACCCCAGACCCTGCGTGCACAGAGCTCAACTCTGCCGGCTGAACCCGGGCGATCAGGAGCGTGGCAGGAAAGGAACAGAGCTACACTTCTGAAGTTTACGAAGCGTACTGTTCGCCACCGCCGAATTTCAGCGGGCACAATTTGCTGCCTGTCTCCCCCTCTTGCAGCTAAGCGTTCGGCAGACACCCATTTCTCCACGAAGGCGCAGAAAGACGGGGAGCGATCTGCAACAAGCTCAGCTGCTCTGAGCTGGGGGCGGCCCAGGGCGCCGGGTCGTGGAGGAGGTTAGCGATAGACCTGAGTTGGCATTTTGGCTGACAACTAAGGGATGCTGCAGCTGGTCACCACGAGCTGTTAGTTTTTTGGTGAAAACTTAAAAATTAACGGTCGTAGAACAGACGCTATGGGCGTCCCCTGACCACCTGTGGTCATTCAAGGGAATAATTATTTGCTGTCCGGGAGGACTAGAACTGTCATTCCTGAGGGCAGTGAGCAGGTCTCCATTATGGGACAGGTACAGCTCTGTCCATCTGTACGGTCCATTTGCACTTGGCCTCCCAGTGGTTTCACCTCAGCTTCTGTGGAGCTCTAAGGCAGAGAGCAGCAGGGCCCACAGCAGTCCTTGTGGGAACCCTGAGCACGGGCCAGTGAGTGCGGTGGGTGCCTCCTTGGTGGTGCCACCGTCCCCTTCTGTCCCCTTCTCCGGACGTGGCAGAGCGAAGCCAACGCTCACAGGAAGGGGAGCCTGGTCTACTACTTGCCAATGGGGCAACTTGTTCCTTTGTTTCCTTACCTGTAAAATGGGGATAACGGCAGCCCGTAGAGCCGCTCCGGGGCCTTCGATGGGTCAATGCCTATGAAGTGCTTGGGACAGGGCCTGGCACGTGGTCAAGGACCTGTGGCTACTCCGTCAAGTCCTTCTGCACTAGGGCTGTGCCTCGGGCTCCCACTAGAGATTTTAAAAGGCAGTTGCCCGGGACCAAGCCCAGGAGAACCTGATGCAGCAGGTGCGTGGCGGGACCCAGGGGCCCACGGTGCAGAAGCCCCACAGGTGGTTCTGACACAGCCCGCAAGGGAAGCGCCTGGGATGGAGCAGGGGCTGCCACAAACCACGACAACCACCACTGGGCGCCTGGCCAACCCGTCTCAGAGACACCTTTGGGCCGCCAACCCAGACCACCCCGCTGGTCCTGTTCCCAGCTCCACGCCGCTTCCTACGAGTTCTGTTCCTCTCTCCTCCAACCTGGGGAACGGGGAGCCAGTTTTTGGTAATCTTGGCATTTCGTAGGCAAAAGAGATGTAAGATCACGTGGAGAGTGAGGGTACCCCCCCAAGAGCCCCAAAGTAGTTTTTTGTTCATGTAGATGTTTCACGTTATTAATTCTGGATAATTAAAGTTTATTCTACTATCTTATGAAAAATGAGCATAAAACCAATCCTGCATCTTTCATTTCCAAATAGTCACTTAAAGATGAAACATTTTGTCCAAGGTCCCGCTATCAGTGAAAACGAACTTGGGAATGTCAGTTTTTACCAGTGTGCTGACTCCCTGTGCTGCTCACCTGTGCCTGTCCCAGCTCTGCGGACAAGAACACCAGGGCTCCGTGTTCCGATCTGAACGGGCAAACCCCTCTGGCCCCCAGCCCCACGTCTCTAAGATGGGGAGACCGAGGCCTGACAACGCACGCCGCCCAGGAGGTGGCAAGCGCTGAGTGAACAGCACCTCATCACACTCTCAGCCTAGAGCCCAAGAGACTCTCGGTGATCACTCTTCCTCCCAGGGAAGCCAGGGTTGGGGCACTCCCCTGCCCGTTCCCCCGCCCCACACCATTTGCTAATGAACGTGAGCTGGAACAAATGCTCCTACAGGGTGGGAAAATGACTGTCACAGGCCAGTGGGGGCCTGCCATCCTGCAAGCACATTCCTTTCCCTCCCACACTGAGCTCTGGCTCCAAGCCTAACTCCGAGCGAGGATGGGGCCGCGGTGCGGTGCCCGGGTACAGAGCAAAGAGAGGGGACCTCCTCCTGCTGTTCCCAAGTGCACACACAAACCCGCCGGGTCTCCGGGAGCCCAGGACACTGCCCCTGTGCTAACCCCACCTGCCCCTGGCAACCCTTCCAGGTAGAAACCCCCCTACCTGCCTCTGCCTCCTGCACACGGACATGATTTCCTTTGGGTCAGCCCCAGGTACAAATACGTGGGGAACATCCAAATCTGTCCTTCTCCACTTGGGGAAGCCTCCGATGCTGAGAGAGCCAGGGCCACAGAACCGTCCCGTGGCTCCTCACTGCTGGGCGTGGCCGGCAACCCCGGGCACACCTTCCCGTCGTCGCCCCTATTCCGCTGCCAGGTGTCTCCCTGGAGGTGTCCCCTGCAGCGTCAGGAGAGCAGTAGGACACGCTCCCAGCCCTGTGGAGGCACGTCCCGCTGCCCAGGTTCCAGGGCCACCTGCAGGCTCCGTCTCATGCAAGTGTATGGATTTAATAAAAGCGTATGGATTTAATAAAAGTGTTTTCTTTCAATCCTTCCCTAGTAAAACCTCCTAAACGTGCACCACAATCAACATGACTCAAATTCTGTTAACGTTTTCAAGTACAGAACTCAAACAAACAAAACCAAAAAACGTTAATGCTGTTAGTATATCACATAGAAAGGTTCAAAGAATCGCGCCATTTACCTTAAATTTTAAAAATGCTTAGAAGTATAACTGCGTGCACAGTGGTCTCTTTCAAACCATGTGATTCCCCCCGACCCCCTCCGGGGACAGCCCAGGACCGGTCTGTCCGCCTTCTGCCGCGGGCGTTGGGAGCGCCGTCCCACCCTGCGAGGCACTTAACCCGAGGGTCGGCCTTACCTTGGCCAGGGTGGCGTAGGCGAGGCCGAGTATTCCGTTCCATTTGATCCCCGGCAGGAAGAAATTCTCTGACTCGAAAATGGTGGCAATGTTGACAAGAAAGGAGCTGTTGAAGCCCCTCGGGATGGTGACGGTGTCCTCCCCGACCGAGCCCGTCCAGCTCCCCTGCGTGTACTTCACGGTGACGTCGAAGCCCTTCGGGCGGTAGGTGCTGGACCTGGCCGAGGGAAGGGAAAGTCCGTTGGACTCCAGCACGCGTCCGGGTTCCCCGAGCCAAAGACAGCTGTCCCCGAAACAGTCTACTGTAAGCCTGAGAGCAATGCGTAATAATTGAGCAGTGTCGATGCGGACAAAGTGGCAGTTCCCTCCAAAACCTAATCACTACTGTTTTGGTGACAGCGCTTTCCAAGCCACATGGAAAAGGCCTTGAGTTTAATTCTTCCCTGCGCCCAAGTCAAACCCCACAAACCAGGTGCTTTACTTAAATACGTTGGCCTCTGCAGGTCCCAATCCAGTTGGGGCCCCCGCCTGGCCCTCTGGCTTTGCAGGGACGCTGGGCTGCTGCTCTGTGACACAAGGGGGTGGCGGCACCAGGAGGGGGCTCCACACGCCGTGCCAGCAGTGGCTGGGGCTCGGATTCCCACATCCCGCCCAAGTGACGCACAAAACCCACCCAGCAAAGCCCAGGCCCTTGATGTCACGGGATGTCACTCACGGGTCCTCCTCACGGCTCTCCCCCAGTGCCCCCAAGCTGACGACACTCACACCAAAGTATGGGCAATGAGGCTAATGGCACCCTGGGGATAAATCACCACGGCGTGACCCAGAGCCTGGCACGCACGTACCTCTGAGGGTATGAGCTACTGACACGGGGTGACAATCACGAGATCAGGTGATGGGCAGGGCCCAGGAAAACCCTGGTTTGCGCTGCAGGGAGGAGAGGCACATGTGGACAGGAAGTAGAGTGAGTAAGAGCTGCCCAGGGAATGAGGAAGGTGGGTGGTGAGCAAGTGGCGGGGCCGCTGGGGAGGCCTCTCTGGTGTGACGACCTCCATGAGACCTGAAGGAAGACAAAGAGCCTGCGGCTCTCTGGGGCAGGACTTGCTGGAGACAGGAAAGCAGGTGTCAAGGCCCTGGGGCGTCCAACCCTACAAGGCCGTTCTTTTTTAGAGATGGAGTCTCACTCTGTTGCCCAGGCTGGGGTACAGTGGTGTGATCATAGCTCACTGCAACCTCAGACTCCTGGGCTCAAGTGATCCTCCTGTCCCAGCCTCCAGAGTAGCTGCAGCTATAAGCACAACACCATGCACAGCTAATTTTTCTATTTTTTTTTTTTAATAGAGATAGGGTCTTGCTCTTCCTCAGGGTGGTCTCTAAACTCCTGGCCTCAAGCGATCCTCCTGTCTCAGCCTCCCAAGTAGTAGCTGGGATTACAGGTGCATGCTACCACACCCGGCTGATTTTTCTCATTTTTTGTAGAGATCAGGTCTCACTATGTTGCCCAGGCTGGCCTTGAACTCCTGGTCTCAAGTGATCCTCTGACCCTGGCCTCCAAAAGTGCTGGGATTACAGGTGTGAGCCACTGCGCCTGACCTGAGGTCACTTTATACCCATTTGAATTTGAAAACCATGGCAATATGGGAAGGAACCCAAGGAACAGCTCTAGGCAGGCATCTGGGCATTCAAACCATGCTCTCCCTAAGAGAATGATCAAATTTCTAAGATTAATGTGAAGTCACCACACAGGTAATTCTGAAGTGTCCCTGTTGGCCTGCGAGTTTTGTTTCACTGTTTTAACGTTAAGTGTGTGCAACATCAACAAACGTTAGTAAGTCTTTGTTGTAGGATTACATGAAGTAGCATAGTCGTGTTTGAGGATAGGGAAGAAGTCGGAGCCAGAGAGGACATGACCTTTGATTTAGTTATTTTGGGGATATTTCCTGAGCTTTCCCTATTTTACATATCTTTAACTCAGTACTTGCACTTCTGAGCATCTGACCCTAGCTAAAGGAGGCACCCAGGAAGCAGACACAAGGGCTCACATGCAAAGACGGTTATTACGTTGTATGTAGAATCACAAACAGCTGCAAACAATTCAATTGCTCGGTAGAAAGGAAACGGTTCAGTGAATTACAGTACCTCCATATGATGGACAATTATGCAGCCATGAAAAATTGTTTTTCTAAGAAATTTTAAATGACACAAAGTTAAAAATGGTATATGTGGCAGAATCTTCTTCAAAAGTATTTATTACTCTAATATTTGCAGTGGTGACCGTCGGTGGTGGTAGGGGGAGAGAAGGGGACTCTTCCGGTCTTATGGTTAGATCCCTCCACATTTTCTGCCTATATAACTTTTATAATCAAGGAAAAACTGTTATTTTAAAATTGTCTGGCAAGAAAAATTTCGGGGAAACTTAATTTATTCTAACTACATAATGGATTATAGAATATGAAGAGTGTTGAATTTTAATATTTGCCTACTATTTTAAGTTCACTCCACCACGATCTTAAAGTAAGAGAAGCATTACGTGAGCATTTTTTGGGCACAACCTCCCGGCAGTGGGCAGGCACAGAGAGAGGTAAGTGACAGGCACACTTAGCACCAACGGATCCCCTGGAAATGACCCGGCTAAAGTGCAGTCCGCTCTTGGAGACATGGGTATTGGAGGATTGGTGAAATGCCCAGTTTCAGAGCCAATGTAAATTCAGATGTGCCTGGCACACAGGAGGGGGTGCACACATTTATGATGCAAAGCAATGACAATACTGAATTAGTCAATCCCTTCCGCAATGAGGGGTCATTCCTCAAGTTCAGAAATTCACTAATGCTAATTATGTTGAAACGCTTGGAGAATACGATCTAGCACAGAGGTCCCCAAACTTCTTCTGCAAAAGAAAAGAAAATAGATGTTTTTGGTTTTGTTTGATACATGATCTCTGTTACAACTCCTCAGCTCTGCAAAGGCAATGCGTATGCAGCCACAGATGATATACAAACAAGCATGCAGGGCTGTTTTATTTGCAAAAACAGGCAGCAGGTGGGATTTGGCCTTTGCGCTACAGTTTGCCGGCTCCTGGTCTGGTAGATCAATTGCATCTTCCCCAAATAGTCTAAAGTGCTATGACTTCCTTTTGAAAAGTTGTTTTATTTTTATTCCATGCAGGCTACAAAAAAACTCCTTAGAATCTGCAATGTTAATAAGAATCTGAACCAGCCTGAACATCTATTTAGCATTTATTTCTTCTATAGTCTCCTGACCAGGGAACATTCTGGATGTTTTGGTACCATTTGCAGAGAGACGAAAGGTAGCTGGGGTTACACTGCCCAGGTTCAAATACAAGTGCAACCCCTTCGCACCTGTGTGTGCCAAGATGTTTAACCTCTCTGTGCCTCAGTTTCCTCAACTAAAAAATGGGGCTAATATAATGCCATGCCTCATGGGGTTAATTTTGAGGATTATATGCTTCTGTAAAGCATTTGGAACAAAACCTGGAACACAGCAGGTATGCAACAAAAATAGCTGCTACTATTATAATCATCTAATCACTTGCTACCTTTATTCAATCTATGAGCTATTCTTAGAAAAATCCAAGGATTTTTTTTTTCTAGAAAATGCTCCTATAGAGCTACTCTTACTGAATACCTGAAACTATCCCATCCTAAAGTCCATCCACACCCATGAAAAGGGACAAGTCTGTGGAGGGGGGTGACTTGGCTACGGAGGTCAGGGGACGCCGTGACACTTTTAAGCTCTCGTGCAACAGGTGTCTGAAAAGTAGAGTTCTTTTGTGCGCTGGGCCGGAACTTCCCGTGAGGACAGAAATAGTCTTTATCTGTGTTGTCCAACACGGTGGCCACAGGTGGCTAACGAACCCTTGAAATGTGATTAGAGTGCAACCGAAGACCTGAACTTGCAACATTAATTGATTCAAGTTTAAATAGCCACATACGGCTGGTGACTACCCTTGTAAAAAGCACAGTCCTAAAGTGGAAAAAAAAAAAAAGTAATTCTAAGCTCCTATTCATATTCCCTGGGCTCCCTGAACTAAAGCTCTGCGTAAAACCCCAGAGAGGAATCCTAAGCAACTCTCAGGGTTATTACGAGCATATAGTTTCTAGCACTTTAAATTAAAAAATAAATAACTTCATCTCCGTTTTTCTAACATCCTACCTCTTGGGACTAAAATGCTCTGGCTCTCAATTGCTCTGCACAATAATTAAATATACGGAGAGAGAAGCCCAGACGGGCTTCTCACGTGCAGGGTCCACGCCGCTCGCTCGGAAGCAGCAATGGATCAGGGGTGCGGGCCGCGGGAGAAAGCCCGCTCGCGGTAGTAAAAACACTTTGAACCAAATTCAGAAGACGCTCCACCTCCGATAAGAGTGTTCAGGGAATGCAAGATTAAAAAGTGAAATCAATTGAACTGAGGAAGATAAGAGCCACAGAACATTTTTTTTTTAACCCACTATTGTTTTCAGAGAACATAAGAAGAGAGTGGGGAAGCACGGCATGGCAAGGAGCTGAATCCTTAGGGCAGCTCTGGTTCTGCTAAGCCTCCCCACCCAGAGTGCCAGATGCCCTAAAGAACTCCCCGAAGATCGCCCCGGGCTTTTCTGCACTCAGGGTCTGGAATCCCCTGTGGGTTTCCTGGCCTGGCCCGGGGGCCGGATGCCTCCCTTACTCTTTTGTGATCCTGGCAGTCCCCACACCTGCATTGGATGCCACCACTGAGCCCAGGGGCTGCTGTTGCCCACCTGACCTGCCTAACCTGTTGGCTCATCAACGTCCTCAGCAGTGGCGAGTCCCCTTCTGCACAGGCAAATGCCAGGCAGGCTCGAGACATGATCTAAGCGACCAGGCAAAGTCATCTGTCGTCGCTGCATGAAAAGGTGTTTGATCTGCACCCACTTCAGTCTCTTTCAAGAAGCCACCAGGTAATTCTTTCATTCCTTAATTCCACTTACAAACATCAGTTGACGAAAATAAATTGGCTTCTTGCTCTGTGAGCTTCACCCCTTGGGGTGGGGGCAGTACAGGAATGAGGAGACATTTTCATGGAAACTTAATTTCCTGAGTAGATTAACAGAGGGTCGAGGAATGAGTACACGTTGCATCTCTCATCAAGCCAACCGGCTGGAGGCTGTTTTATTGGCTAAAAAAAGTTGTACATTAAAACACACACACACACACACACACAACTTTCTTTTTCCTGCTACACAGTAATTCATTAGCACATTCACCGCCATGAAAAGAGGAGTTCTGACGAAGACCAGCCACCCCAGTGACTAATGGTGGCCTGACATCTCATTCCGCAGATCAAAGCGATCTTGTCAAAGAACCCCAAGCCGAATCTCCAATTACTATAAAATGTTTCAGGAAGCGTGAAACCTGCATACCCGGAGACCGTGGACTTGAATCACAGGCTGGCAAACCCGACCAGAAAAACCTTATTAGAACCAAGAGATCAGAGTCGCGAGCAAACGCAGGCATGTCCCGGGGCGGGAGCTCCATCTCGGAAAAGGAACCTTTGTCAAAAATTGAGAAGGAAAAAGAACTCGGTTGTCGTGGCTTCCGTCAGGTACGATGGTGGAAAGTATACCTTAGGCAGACTCGACTCTCAGGTTAGCTGAGAGCTTTAGACAATTTAACAATACGTAATTGACATCGAAAGATAGTATTCAAATCCATGTTGACTGTAAGCCTATAAGCAGCATGGAAAAAGCAGAGAAAAGAAAACAAGGCAAACGTAAACCCAGGAAAGTGCGTAAGCTGCAAAGCAAGCCTGGTAGCAGGGATGCCGCTGGGGGACAGAGCAAGCTTAAAACTCAGATGGGGGGGGTGCTTTGCACCTGATTCAGCTGAGAAGAGACCCCACAGCTCTGCTGAAGAATGGTCTCTTGAATAAAAGAGGCAGTGCCGGGCTGCAGACCCAAAATGTGGGTGGCGTTTTACGTGTAATAAGTCAATCTCAGCGGTTCCTGCAAATGGGGAAGGAAGGCCGGATTTGAATAGCAAAGTGGCTATGGGTGAAACTGACCACTGACAGGGGATCTGGGGCCTTCCCTAGGCATGGGTGTGCTCTGTTATTTCGCTTTTCATTTACCCAAAAGAGGAGAAAGAGATCAGGACCTCGAGAGGCCAGAAAGCTGACAGAGTCCTAAATTCTCTTGTGGGATGATCAGGACGGAGGACTTTGTCACCAAAGGAGCTTCAGACGGTCCCAGGAGTTTTCATATTGAATCAGATGTACGTGGACAAGAGAAGCCACACGTTTTAAGCATGGAAAACAGGAACCATCTGCCGTGTAAATGCAAACCTAGTGATGGGCACAACACCCACCTGAATAAGGCAAATAGGGTTGGCAGGTAAGTTGGACAGATGAGCCCACAGGAGCCTGAGAGAGAACTGCGACTCAGCCAGTGAGCACTCGAAGGTAACTGAGAAAGGTGCTGGGGTGTCTACAGGTGATTACATTCTGTGCATCGTACCGGTAATGCCGGCCATTATTTGCCCTTGAACGTTTCAACAATTGCATCTGCATGGCAAAAGGATGCTGGGGTAAGGGACGGATACTTTGACCCTTGTGGACGCCGGCCATGGGCGGCTGCCAAAGAACTGCCATTAATCTACCAGGAAGGAAGTCACCAAGCACAGTGTTCAACGTGCACATCGCCCTAACTTCACTGCACTTCGCTGTTTCTTCCCACAGTGTCTTGCCTCTACAGATGTGTGGTGAGAAACAAAATCACTCCAGGGGGAGGAAACTGCCACGCATGGGAAGGAAGCTCCAAGTGTGTGGGTTCTCTCTGTGCCGGGCCCCTGGCAGGTGCGGGGGCCCTGGGTAAACGTGCAGTGCCGACCAGAGCCCTGCAGCGGGAACAGCACTGGGCTCGGGCCACTGGGGGCCGTCGAGATGAGTGGTTCTCAGAGCGGAAGGCACTGCCCCCGGGGGACTTTTGGAAACTCTGGGGGCGTTCTTGGTTGCTGGTGGGCCCGCACCTGGCACGCTGGCTGTTCCAGAATGCTTGGGGCAGTCTTGCAAAATGAAGCACTGGCGCCGTGCCGCACCGCTCTGCAAAGCCGCTCTGGGCCTCCACCTGCCACTGACCGCCTGAGCACGGTGTGTGCCACCCCCTCACAGACGCACAAAATATCCTCCACAAGTTTCACAGGCATTGGGTAGTAGCTGCTGTGTAAACTGAGGAAGGGTGGTAATTTTTCAATTTTACCAAGATTCTTCACCAATTTGGAAATTCTTGTCTGCAACTGAGATAGTTTGGATATCTGTCCCCTCCAAATCTCGTGTTGAAATCTGGTCCCCCGTGTTGGAGGTGGGGTCTGGTGGGAGGCGTCTGGGATGGATCCCTCACGAACGGCTCGCGGCCGCCCTGGCGGTGATGGGCAAGTCCTCCCTCTATTAGCTCTGCAAGCTGGCATCTTTCCCAGCCCCCTCCTCCTCTCTCGCCCTGTGACCTCAGCTCACACTGGCTCCCCTCTGCCTTCTGCCAGTTGTGGAAGCTCCCCAAGTCCTTCACTGGAATCAGATGCTGGCACCCGGCTTCTTGTACAGCCTGCGCAACCCTGAGCCAACACACCTCTTTCCTTCGTAAGTTACCCATGCTCAGGTATTCCTTTATAGCAACACCAACGGACTAAGACAGCAACCTAAGCTGCTCTGGGTGTCCGAGTCTTACTCAATCCGCCTTGATCAGTCTACACTGGGTGCTGCAGGTCCACAGTGACATGCACTCAGCCTCCACCTCCCTGACTGCGTGGTCTGCCAGCACCACCGACACAGCGTTTCCACGCTAAGATACCGATTACTGCGCACGACCACCCTTTTATTTCCCCCATCACATCAGGGCATTCAGAGCTACGTATGTGGGTAGTTAAATGACCTTTTTGTTCATTTAACTACTAATTTGCAGGGCACTGCAAAGCACTCATTATATAAAGAGGGTGCTGGCTGAGGGTTTGGAAACTGCGGGTCTCAAAGCCCAAACCCTGGCAAGTTCCCTGGCTCTCTGACCTCCTGTGCTGCATGAATCAAAGTGAAAGGCTTGGACCGACTCCAAGTCCCGTTCCATGACGAAGCAGTCCACAGCGAGCCGCTGCAGGTGGGCAGCTGTTCGGGGATCCAGGATTTGGATGGAACCCCAACTTGAGTGGAAAACCGCCAATCCAGGCATGCACACGCAGAGCAATGCCACTCCCACACACGCTTCTGGGGACAGCAACAACAGCCGGGCATGTATTAGTCTTAGTCACAAAGTGATCACTGGCTGGTGTGGTGTACCCCAGAATATCAGTGACAAAGGCTTTTCAATACAGGGTGTCATACACTGACGTCATACACTTGAGGGAGGGGTCTGCCGTGCAAGACCCCACACCGCACTGGCCGCCATGCCCTCTCCCCAGCAAGCAGCTCAGCTGTGCATGCACGAGCCACGTCACTCATGCCACCAAGAGCCCAGGACTCAGCGTAGGTCGGACAGACTACACACGGCCAGCCATTCCCGCTTCGCGAAGGTTCTCGGCATTTTCAGAAGCCGCCAGCTATCGTTCTCCTCCTTTCCTCCCCGAGCTAAAGCCGGCCTTTGTTCCCTGGACCCAAACACTGCAGGCAAGGGAAAGTGAGCACAAAGAAGACATGAAAAGGGTTTACGGCAGGGAAACCCAACACGGCAGTTCCGAGTCTGCAGACAGCTCTCTGCCCTAAAAAGCAAACCACTCCCTGTCACCTTCTCTGTTTTATCTGTTGAGTTTAAGCTTTAGGATCACAAAAGCAGATGTGAACTCAAAATGTGCACAGCCCTAGTGCGGCTTCGAGTTCCCAGAAGGAGCTGACTAGACCCCGTGGGCTCCCCCAGCGGCCGCCGGGGGCCACTGCGAAGCCAGGGCTCCGGGGGCCGTCCTGGGCAGAGTCTGCTCCATTGCAAGGACCTTCCTCTGGCCTCTGCTCTCTTCTCACAACCCAGCCCCACAATCGCTGGCGCACAGCCCCATTCTGGGGTCTTAATGCCTTGTACTCGCAGCATATACTCTTTTCCAAACGAGCAATGGATTTCTCTCCTCTGGAAACACCTCCCCACAGCACTGGCCTCCACGAACCGCACCTTACCCTACTGAACCAGGTGGCCACGCACAGGTGGTTTTCACGCATTTCTCCCCGGGAGGAAGCAGCCCCACACGCCTGCCCAGGGCAGCCTCAGAGTCTCCTGCGACACTCCTCCCCTGCCCAGGCCCGGCTCTGCTGCAGGACTAGAGGCATTGCAGTAAACCTCGATTTAGGCATGGCTACAAAGCTTGCGTTTGACTTGAGTTTTCATTAGGTGAATCTCACGTGAACGCACTAAGGCTATTAGAATCTTGCTATGGATCCCCCTGGAATGAACATATATATATGCACACATGCAGCATATATGTCTACATGTGCATGTGCATGCAAATACATGCGTACACACATCCCCCCTTAACATGCAGCAGCCGGAAGCCGTGTCCCGGTGCATTTTGAAGCACGCAGTGCCCGGGCCCGCACGCCTGCAGACCCTCACTCACCGCTCCGTGTCGAAGTAGCCGTCTATGTAGGAATGTGGGGCGCCTGCCACGGCGAAGTTACTGCTTCCAGTGTCGACGAGAATCTGCAGCTTTTGTTTTTTAAGGAGAAAAAGAATAGAAAGCGTCAGGTTATTTGTATAATACTCAAATAATTTGTTCCAAAAAATTAAACTGCGTACGAGGAGTCATTTATCCATTGGAGAAAAACTTATACTGATTAGGGGAGGAAAAGCTGTTATAAAATTGAAATCTGAGCACGGTCCCTGAAGCAGCTTGCACGAGGGATGGGGGGCAGTCTTGCCTCACATCCGCACTGAGCCTTAAAAGAAAATAAATTCTGTTAAATAATGACGGTTTACTTTTTAAGCCACTGGAACTCGCTAAGGAGGCCAAATGCCCTTTCTCGGCGCTGGGCTTCTGGCCAGGTTGAACTCGTGCCCAGGCCTGGCCTCCCCTCTGCAGGATGCCCCTCACCTCTCTGCAGAGCACCTGCAAACACCTGTCACAAGGACCGGTTTTCAGTTCTACTGAGGTATAATTTGCATGCAGTAAAAATGCAAGATCTGTTTTTTTAGTATGGCTCAGGCATCCTCAAACTACGGCCCTCGGGCCACATGCGGGTGTTTTTTCCCGTTTGTTTTTTTACTTCAAAATAAGATATGTGCAATGTGTATAGGAATTTGTTCATAGTTTTTTTTTAAACTATAGTCCAGCCCCCCCAATGGTCTGAGGGACAGTGAACTGGCCCCTTGTTTAAAAAGTTTGAGGACCCCTGGCTATGGCTTCTTACGCTCAACTTGTTTTTGAGATTCTCTGACGTTGCGTGCACTGGTCCTTTGTTCCCTCTCGCTGTGGAGTGGATCCCTCTGCAGGGACATGCCACTGTTTCCCCGTTTCTCCCGATGGGCACCTGGCTGTTTCCGGTTTCAGACTATCAGGGATAAGGCTGCCATGGACGTTCTTATAAAAGTCTTCTTGTGGATGTACATTTCCATTTCTCTTAGGCAAATTCCTAGCAGTGAAATTCGTCGGGTCATGGGGTGGACGTATTTTTAATGTTTTCATCCAAAGAACTGCTGAACAGTTCTGCAACATCCATAAACCAAGTGACACTTCCATGAGCAGCCTATCCATGGTGCACTTGCTCCACACCATCCCTGGAATTTGGTGTGGTCGGTCTTTTTTATTGTCGCCATCCCTGTGGATGCTGAACGGTATCTTGCTGTGGTTTCAGTTTGCAGGTCCCTGGCGACCAGAGCCGTAGAGCGGTCACACTGTATTGCATTAGTGTCACCCGTGTGCCCCGCTAAACGACGGCACCCGAGGGTGGGCACGACTGTCATGCATCTTCTCCTGCCCAGCACCTCTCCGGTCCAGACACACGGCCAGGGGCTTGCAGAAATAAACGTCTTTTAGAAATAAACGTAGAATATGCAGACACAGCCCAAAAGGTTGAAAATCAAGTTTAAAAAGCTACAGAACAGAAAATCAAGACAGGCAGGTTTTTTACCCAGGATTATCTAATCAACAACCTCAGTTCTCCCAGGTCCGGTGTTTTCTGTTTCCTCCCACCTGACCCACCGGCAGACTCTGACTCTTCACTCCCGGCTCCTCCAGGAATAATTTCTTCACTTTGCCTTCGGGGGCATCGGGATTTCCTAACATCCTCCTTTCCTGACTCCTCTGCCTCAGTCTCACCATGGGCACTTCTGCCTCCCCAGCCTGGGGGTTCTCCAGGGCTCAGCGTGGGGACCACTCCGAGGCTCGTCTATACTTGGGGCACGTTTACACTCGCACCCTCTGTGAGCCCACCGAGTCTTGAGGCTCTAAACGCCTTCCCCTCGTCGAGACCCCCAAGCTCCCATCTCAGGCCAGACCCGCCCCCGAGCTCCTCCGCTTGACGCCTTGCGACCACCTGTGCTGGGCTGAACTGGTCTTCCCTGGAGGTGGGTGCGAGTGCTGACCCCGCAGCCTCGGCCTCAGCGGCAGGTGGGCCTTTGTGGGGGCCATCGTGTTCAGACGAGTGGGCGCCAGGGACCGATGGCCGCGCCGGGAGCTGGAGGCGGCAAGGGCAGCCCTGCCCAGGGTCTCGGAGGGCGCGTGGCCCTGCTGACGCCTTGACTCCAGACCTCAGGTGTCCACAGGTGTGAGAGGATCAGTTCCTGCTGTTTTGCGCCCCCCAGTCTGTGGTGCAGCCAAGGCAGCCCAGGACACCGACAGGCCACCTCGAGTCTGACAGCCCAGAACCGTGTCCCCGGCTCCCACGCCTGCTCCCCCCACGGTCTCGGCCATCCCGCCCACAGCAGCTCCACTGGGTCAGCTCCCGACACTCTGGGAGTCAGCTCTGTGCTTCCCGCCCTCACGCCCCCTGCAGCCGACCAGGGAGCGGCTTGGGCCCCACCACCGGGCTCTGGTCACCACTGCCCCTTCCTCCTCCTCCACCCGGCCCGCTGTGGTCTGTGTCCCCCTCGTCACCTCCGTTTCCCAGCTGGTCTTCCCACTGCCTTCCTCAGTCTACTCCCAGCTAGAGGCCACCGCGACCCCATGACTGTGTAAGTCACAGCAGGCCGATCCTCCCCCCCACGGCTCCTGCGCCTCTCAGAGTGACAGCCAGAGACCTCCGACGGCTCCCGCCGCCAGCCTGCGCCCGGCCTCACTGCTCCCAGGCACACCTACCGCCAGACATGCCCCACACCTGCCCCGGACGCCCCACACCTGCCCCGGATGCCCCACACCTGCCCCGGATACCCCACACCTGCCCCAGATGCCCCACATCTGTTCTGGATGCCCCACACCTGCCCCGGATGCCCCACACCTGCCCCAGATGCCCCACATCTGTTCTGGATGCCCCACACCTGCCCTGGATGTCCCACACCTGCCCTGGATGTCCCACACCTGCCCTGGATGTCCCACACCTGCCCCGGATGCCCCACACCTGCTCCAGACACCCCACACCTGCCAGAAGCCACCTGCCAGACGCCCACTGCGCGTCGATCTGCCCACTGCCCTAAGACGCCCCACACTGCTGGTGCCCCATACTGCCCGGACGCCCACACCTGCCCTGGAACCACACCTGCCCTAGATGCCCCACACCTGCCCGGACGCGCCCACACTGCCCTGGATACCCCAACCTGCCTAGATGCCCAACCTGCCCGGATGCCCCACTGCCCTGGATGCCACACTGCCTAGATGCCCCACCCTGCCTGGACACCCCACACCTGCCCCGGATGCCCACACCTGCCTGGACACCACACCCTGCCCGATGCCTCACACCTGCCCGGATGCCCACCCTGCCGGCGACGCCCGCACACCTGCACTGGACACCCACACCGTGCCCTAGATGCCACACTTCCGGATCCACCATGCCGGACCCACAACTGCCCCGGATCCCACACTGTCCGGAATCCCACCTCCTGGACACCCCACACCTGCCCTAGATGCCCCACACCTGCCCTGGACACTCCACATCTGCCCTGGACACCCCACACCTGCCCTGGACATGCAGGGCTTTCAGCTACTGCTTTCGCCAAGGCGGGGAGCTCTCCCCAGGGTACCCCGAGTCCACCTGGCGCACCCATCGCTTCCTCCCAGGCTTTGCCTCATGCCTCCGGGAAGCCTGCCCTGCCCACCCTTTTGAAATACCGCCACTCCCAGCCCCCTGCTGACCTGTCTGTCCCCTGACCCCCATAATATCGTCGCCTCTAACTGAATAACAGCACCTAGGATGTGCGGGGCACGCCTGTGAGGGCTTCGTGTTTACGTCAACTTGTTCAGACCTCACAGCAGCTCTCTGAGGTGGCACTGTCATCACCCCCATTTCACAAATGGGGAAACTGAGGGCAGAGACGCTGACTTGTCCTCTTACACGAGAGTAAGTGGCAGAGCTGAGGCTCGAACCCAGAGAGTTCGACTCTGGCCACATTCCCTTACCCCACTCTCCCACTGCTTGGGCCCGGGGACCCTCATGCACTCACTTGCTCCCGACGGTTCTCGGTGGCGAGAAAGCTCTCTATGGAGGGGATTTTTGCTAATTTTGTTCGCTGCTCTGACCCCAAGGCTCCCGACGGTTCTCGGTGGCGAGAAAGCTCTCTATGGAGGGGATTTTTGCTAATTTTGTTCGCTGCTCTGACCCCAAGGCTCAGAGCAGAGACAGGCAAATAGTAGGCACTCAAATATTTGTTGACTGAACAACTAAATTATTCTCAAAGGTGAAAACAAAGACGCCAACTGTGCCCTTGGTACAGAGATGATAGATGCAGAGGAAATAAACATGCGAGAGGAATGCAGTGTGTGCACACAGACCTGCCGTGCGCAGGCCCTGCAAGGGGCAGGGTTTTCAGGCTGTTGCAGAAGCCAGGTAGGTTCCTGCTCCTTTGATCCGAGCATTGGCCTTGCCCCACAGGAGGCCGCAGGAATAGCGGAGAGTGTGGAACAAATGGTCCTGGGAGCATCTGCAGGGGCTGTGGTGACAAATGGTGACGAATGGTGACACCCTGTTTTCCCAAGCCAAACCCCGCTTTGTGACTGGAGAGAAGTCCACACCGAAGACCGAGTTCAGGAAAACTTTGCAGACAAACAGATCTGGGGACTGAGGCTTGCAGTGCATCTAAAATAAAGGCGACAACACACTAAATACAGGGACTATAAATGTCGCTCTACACATCTTAGTTTTAGTAAATGAATTCTCTACCCTCAACTTCAGTTACTAACACACAGCCTCCAGAAAACGTGAGATCTCACGCCGCCCCAGAGAGATGTCTGAGCTGATTGCAGATGGAATGTGGTTTAAAAACGTGCATGTATTTTCCATGTTCTCCATCCAAATATTTGGTAGTCAATAGCCGCAAGCCCCCAAACCACAGTTTGATTGGATCCGGTCTGTATTTCTCATCCATGTGCAAAGAAGCGTGAGATAAATTGTTAAATGTGTATCTGATTCTCATCCCCACTTCCTGGCACAGACCCCTGCAATCTTGGGACTCTCCAAAGCGGTGTGTCTGTGACGCTGTGAGTCGAGGGATGGCTGTCCCCCAGGCGGCCTCAGGATGGGGAAGTGTTCAGGGCAGGATCAGAGGGTGGGGACTTCCAG